ATAAATAAATAAATAAATAAATAAATAAATAAATAAATAAATAAATATTTTTAAAAAATAAAAATGAGAAAGGCAATAGTATATTTAGATTGTAACATTTACATTATTAGAAATACTGGAAATGTTATAGTCTGAATATAACAGTGAAAAGTCATCCCAAATCTTATTGTATTAGATATGCAGGGTATAACTAAAGAAACAGATTATCCCACTAAAGGTTAAGAGATATTGAAGATGGAAAAAGCAAAGGAGGCAACAGCTAGAATGTAAGGGAAGTATATAGGCAGGGATAGTTGTAGGAAGGTTAGAAGGGGGAGGGAAAAAGAAGAAAAGTTTGAAAGAAGCAAAGACTACAATGTATTACAAGATATACTGAATTCTTAATGTCTAGAAACATCAGTTTTTTTAAAGAATTGTTTTTTATGCATGCAGAGTTGTAGGGGGTGTAGGCCAGAGTTGTAGGGGGTGAGAAGATTCACCAGAGACAGTGGACAGCAAAACAGATAGATCTATTGAAATATATTGCTAAGGGGAGCAGTGGATGAGACGGGAGAGGTCTGCTGCACCATGTGGGTCACCTCCCTGGCTGGGATCAAGTGCAGTCTGAACTCAGGCCTTAGAGGTGTTGGTCCTAAGATTTAATCCGTAAGCCAACAGGGAGGCCCAACATTGTCTTACGATTCCTTCTTGTTTCCAATCTAGAAAATTATTTTGTATCTTGCCCCTGAAAAGAAAATGGAGAAAATCCAAAGGAGAAAAATCTACTGTCATGGAACTGTAGATCTGATAATAAAATAAGGCACCAAATATTTAAAGCCAAGTGAGCTTTAGTTCTTTGCAATTACAAACTGGCAAAATAACATATTGGTGCTACTGACTAGCTAGTTTGAAATGAGTGAAGGATTTGAACCGACCCTGTGTTGGCCAGTAGTAATTTTAGACCCTTTGGAGACTTGGTTAAGAACTTTTGAAAACTAAAAATATTTAATCTGTATTGATACAGATTAATCTGTAACCCTACCAGATTCCACCATTAAGCCTTCTGAGGCTTCTTTCTAAATACCACTCCCCCATTCTAAGAGTGACCTGTGAGGAAAGTTCTTCCTTCCACCTTATTTTTACTATAATGTGTCAAGGTCTCAAGAGATTAGGTGGTGATAATTATATAGTGTTTTATTTCTGTCTAGTCAATAATTTTCTTATACTTTTACTAGTTTTTATTTTAGAAACTGAAGAACCTTATTTCAAAAATTCTACAGACCTGCAGGATTTTTGAGAGGGACTAGGAAGGATGGAGTGATGTTGACATGTTCTTAGGAAATTTGACTCTGTTAAATAATGTTTCCTGGAAAAGAAGGTAGCAGAGTTATAAAAGAAATAGCAAAATGAAAATACATGAACACACACATGCATATGTGTGTATATAAATAAAATCTGATTTCTAGCTCAAGATGAAGATGTTCAGTTCTTCTACTGATAAACAATTAGTAGGGTATTATCCCATAACCATCAAAATGTCTAAACTGTGTAGATAGTTCTTGACAGGATTCAGAAGTAGGTAAGAATAATACTGAGGAGAGAAGTGAACCACCCTTTTGCTTGGGCATCTCTATTATTTTGCCTTTAGTCCTTATGTTATCCAAAATTAGATCAGCTTAGTGGTAGACCTAGTTTTTAGAGCAGTTTCTTGACCTTACCACTATTGACATTTTAGGCTGGATAAGTCTTTGTTGCATTGTAGTTGTGTATAGCAATATTCCTGGCTTTTATCTGCTATTGATAGATGCCAGTAATATCCCAACCCCTAGTTGTGGAGTCAAATTGCCTCTGCTGAGATTCCCCTGATAAGAATGAACAGAACCCTTCTACACAATATAGACTCCAATGCATTACCTGCTAACATACATATCTTAGAAAAGGCAGTTTAAGGATATGATAAAGTCGTTACAAAGTTCATTTCTCTAAAATGAAAACTGAGGTTCCTAATTGTCATTAGAATAGTAACTAAAATAAAGTTTGATCTATATGCTTTAAACATTATTTCAGATAGACTTGATTTTCTAATGAATTTCTCTTGATGTGGTAAAATGAAAACTCTGTGTTTTGCCACATTTTTTAGGATGACAGGTATTTTCTAAGTGGGTCATTGGATGGAAAACTGCGTCTTTGGAACATACCTGACAAAAAGGTGGCTTTGTGGAATGAAGTAGATGGTCAAACAAAGTTGATCACAGCTGCAAATTTCTGTCAGAATGGCAAATATGCAGTGATTGGGACCTATGATGGCAGATGCATATTCTATGATACAGAGGTAAATGATTACCATGTGTAAATTACATGATTGAATGTTAAATTGGTATATCCCATTTGGATTTTAAGTGCCTTCTCTGAAAATTGGGGCAAATAATACCGTGTGTGTCTGCAGATTGGATCAGATGATCTTTGAGTTTCTATCTAATTCTGATTTATTTATTTTGTAATTTCTTTTTAGCATTTGAAATACCACACACAAATACATGTCCGATCTACCAGAGGGCGCAACAAGGTTGGAAGAAAAATTACTGGCATTGAGCCTTTACCTGGAGAAAATAAGGTATTAAGAATTCAAAATCATCTCTTTCACACTATATATAGATGCCTGAAAATTTCTCATTAATATTCTGTCTTTTATTTCCTTTCCTATAGAACACTGCTTTTTGAAGTTCTATATGTATATAAGAACCTTGTCTGGGTATACATTAACTTAGCATAAAAGATGGTATTTTGGGGGCCCTCCTTGTGGCGCAGCGGGTTGGGGCACAGCACTGAGAAACTAAAGCCACCTCCGCATGAGTTCGATCCCCGCCTGCCCTGGAGGTGATCCACATGGCGTGGCAGGCCTCTCCTGACCCGCCCACTGCTCCCCTCAGCAGTGTACTTCATCTATCTGCCTGTTCTGCTCCCT